CCTACTTGTACCGAAACCGTTGCGTATATGCTCTCATCGAAAGGACCGGTCTCCGCGTCTTGAATTCGCAACGTACATATAATGCATGTACTTGGATAATATGTATTCGTAATTAAAGAAATCTCTTGAAGGTAACATAATTTATATTCCTATATTTTCTTCTTTTTTTAATTATTCATATTTCTCAATTTCTTCAAATTACATGTACTTATTTTTTAGGGTACATTAAAACTTATTCGTCAGCCAGTCTGTTCATGTGTCACAAGAACTTTAAACTTGATAATAACTTTTGAATGAGTTGAAATAGGACTTGTGAAATGAGATTTTCAAATATACTGTGATTTTTTACCCTGTGACCTTGATCCTGAAGCTTGACCTACTTAAAAAACATTACTTTAAATTGACAATAACTTTCGAAAGCTTCCATTTATAAACGTATATTACCTGTGACAAGGCCTTTCAAAATTCACTATAGTATGAGTTTTGACCCCTTGACCTTGAAGTTTGACCTGCTTTTAAAAAACATTAACAATAGTCATACCTTTGAATGAGAAGAGATAGGGCTTTTTTTTATCCCTGTATATTATCTGAGACAACTCTTTTCTAAATACACTGATTTTTAACTCCGTGACCTTGAGGCTTGACTTTCTTATCACAATTTTAATCTCGGTCATAACTTTTGAATGAGAAGAGATAAGGCTTTCATATTACACAAAAATCATATGTACGTTACCTGTGATAAAATCTTTTCAAACACTAGTATATTATGAACTTCGACTTTGAAGTTTAACCTGCTTTTCCAAAATTTAAACATTGCTTAAAATTGACCATAACTTTTTACAGAGAAAGGGTAGCACTTTCATACCTGGTATTACACATGTATATTAGCTGTGACAAAGCCTATCAAGAAAAGGTATTGCTTAAATCATGCAGAGTGTGTCATGGCCTTGAATCAGGGTCATTTAGGATAAGATGTTTTGGCTGGATGCATTGTCTGAAAAAACGTATGAATCTGTCAATACGGTAGCACACAAATTGGATATGCTCATCACCAGCGTGTGTCATGGTGTAACACAAGGTCATTTTGACAAGGTCAATGTCACAAACATTGCTTTACTATCATTTTTTAAATTGTAAAACATCATAAGAAGATATCTATCCTTAAAAGATTGCTTTAACATTAGAATGTGACATGACCTTGACTCCAGGTAATTTCTCCCTGACCGCAGCTCCCACGGAGACCTACTCGTTGCTTTGCAACAAGCTCGGCTCTAGTTTATGCATATATCTCTTTGAAGTTTGCTATGTTTTTTGATGAAAAATGTACTTATGAGTAGTGAAAACTTTAGATCAGAGTTAGAATTCATAACACTTTACTTTGTAGTAAAAAAAAATAAATTTATGTATTAAGATACATGTTCATATATTGTGAAAAATCAACTGAATATACGTTAATAATTTCCATATCATTTTACACAAATTCTTACATTTTATCTTATTTACCAGTCGCCATTTGACGCAGCGGGTTTGCTCTGGAGTCACGGACATGACGGAGTCCATCCTTACTTCGTGGATTCGACTCCCACTGCGGGACATGGAGATCAGCCCTTAATTCAAATTGGGATCCCGTGTCGCAGTAATTGCTAGCCAGAAAAATATCCCTCGCTGCTCAAAACTTTAAATGTTATCTTTAGACCTTAGAAAGTAACACATAACTTTTAAAACATCCCCCCTTCTGACCATTCAATTAAAACGTCCTAGTCCGCCAGGTACAACAAACACAGCCCGAATTCTATCATGCAGTAGGTTTATCAATGTCTTAACCTGAGCGAAATAAATATTTTTGTGCATCTTTAAATGCCTGTTTTTCAGATACTGAGGTCGAATTTTCTCTAACTTGGCGTAGTGTATTAACCCTGAGACTTCCGGTCAAGGAACTGTCATTCAAGCTTTTGAAACATATGGGCCCGAAAAGTCGTTATGTAGTGTTTATTTGCATCTGTAGCTTTGGCTTTTCTTTATTTTGAGAATTTCCAACATTAGCAATGAAAATGCGTGCTTTCAGTTACTTTGAGGAAATACAGGCATCACATCCAGAAAAGAAAGAAGGATATTTTTCCGGACTTTTAGTACAAGACTTATGATTAACAGGTACAAAACCTTAAAAACCCAAAATATTGTCAATAATTTTATTAAAAATGCTAATTTTTGATTTCTGTTCAGGGGGCTAAAAATCAACTTCCGGTAATGGAATGAAAATCATTCAACCGTTAAATAACTGATTTGACAAAGTAAAAGATGTCCTAACTTTTTTGGTACATAGTTATATCCCGTACATAATTTTCACCCCTTAAATTAGGGTGTTGCGTTTCTATTGACGGTGAGTATATATTACGGTCACCGACTTTCCTACAGTGTTATTTGTAGCAATAGTAATTTAGCCAAATGTAAACGGGCCTCAATGTTTACGGCACTAGTTTTTGGAAGTTGAACGATGTTCAATCTCCCTTAGTCATCACAGGGTTTCTAGCGCAGTAATTTATATAGATTATATAGTGACCGTCCGTGGGGCTTCCACTCGAAGCTCCTCGGGTGGCTCTTACATGTGTACCCCGCACACTAAACTTGGACGTCAAATTGTTCCAACATCCTGTTTATTCAGTCAAGTGATCTTATGAAATTAAGAATTTCATTCAAATGTTCTACTTTTAAAACCCGAGTTTCTTTTGCACACCCAAACTTTGCCATCAAAGACAACTAACATATGGCTGTAGTTAAAAGCAATGAAGAATTAGACAAATAAACAAACCCTATCGAAGAACGTTATGCAGAGCAAGATATGAAATGAGTGACAAGGCAGTTTCCGCCGGAGAAATGTATCGATCTGATGCGTATTTATCACTCCTCTTACACATCCGGGGTTTGAATGGAGCGTAGCGAAGTCAGCCGGGGATTGCTGATTGTGGGGCTTCTGTGTTGACAAATTTACTCCTGTGATATTCAATACAAACTTGCAGAAACGTCCGCCACAAAATAGTCCATCTCATTTTTAATCATTAATCTAATTTTGATAAATGATATGAAAGTACGTGAAAATGAAATTGAATTTCATTTAACTTAATTTGAATATCATATTTTTATTAATCTAAAATTGTTTTATAGTCTGTGAGAACTAGAGAAAATGTAGGAAAATGTCCTTAGGGCGCTTTGCAGCGCACCGATACCTGTAAACAATGAGAGGGAAATTAACGACATCTCCGCACAATCTATGAAGCGAACTTTCTTTGTATTTATTGATACGTAGTAAAAATAACTACACAAAGTTATACATATTTTTTTAACCATACTTATTAAATTTTTATAGCAATAGTTATTTTGTAATCCAATAACCATTAAAAAATAAACAAGTCACATTATTTTCAATACAAAAGAATAATTGATCGGAGTATGCTTGTTTTAACCTAGAAATGAGCTGAAATAATAATCACGATGGTTTAAAGTTCACGGAAAATTCTTAAATCGTGAACATAGTGAAATTAAAAACACCATAATGTATTCCACTTCTACAGCATATAGTTTTTGTCTTGTCCGTCTGTCTGTTTCTCTGTTTGTCTGTTGTCCGCAAAAACTTTCACCTTGCCCATATCTTTTGATTTAGTGCAGCTATGATTTTCATATTTCACATGTATTCCTTGTAACAAGACCTTTCTTTGGGTACCACCAAATTTGACCTTTCGACCTTGACCTTGGAGTTTGACCCACTTATACACAAAAATTCCAAACTTTTACTTTGGCCATATCTTTTGAACAGTAGATACCAGGATATTCATCCTTCACATATGTATTGTATTCAAAACCTTTCATTGGATACCACTAACCTTGACCTTTGACCTTGACCTTGGAGATTTCCGTACTTTTGAAAAAAACTTTGACCTTGGCAATAACTTTTGAACAGTAAAGGCTAGAGCTTTCATACTTCAAATATGTAATTCGTGTGAGAAGACCTTTCATTGGATACCAAGAACTTTGACCTTAACCTTGGAGTTTGACTTATTTTAAAAAGATAAACCTTGACCATATCTTTTAAAGAGTTAGAGCTAGTGCTTTGAATTCATACTGTATTTAGTCAATCCTTAGGACAAGACCTTTCATTTAATATTAAGACCTTTGACCCTTTGACCTTGTCCTTTGAGTTTGACATACTTTATAAAATCATAACTTTTGAACTTTTAGGACTAGGGCTTCCATACTTCACATGTGTATTCCTTGTGGCAAGATCATTTATTAGATATCAATAGCTTTGACCTTTTGACCTTGGAGATTTCTGTATTCATGAAAAACTTTAACCTTGGCAATAACTTTTAAACAGTTACAGCTAGTGCTTCCATATTAAACACATGTATTCTTTGTGGCAAGACCTTTCATTGGATAAGAATTACCTTGACCTTTTGACCTTGACGATTTCCGTACTTATGTAAAAAATTTAACCTTGACAATAACTTTTAAACGGTAAGGGCTGGGGCTCATACTTCACATATGTAATTCTTGTGACAAGACTATTCATTGAATACCAATAACCTTGACCTTCTGACCTCGATCTTGGAGTCTGACCTACTTTTGAAATCTTTTAAAGAATTCTGTACTTTTGAAAAAAAATAATAAACTGGCCATAACTTGGGAGCAGATGTTGATAGGGCTTTCATATTTCACAATTGTATTTCCAGTTAAAAGACCCTACTTTGGGTACCAATATATAAAATTTTAATCTTCACTATGTTGCCATACGGGGGCATCAGTGTTTCACAAACACATCTTGTTCAATTTGTTTTTATGTCGTGGCATAAAATTTAAACATGTAAGCAATTGATATGAAATTCTAGATAAAAGTTCGGAATAGCCAGGTCTGACTTTTTTAATTTGAAAAATCAAAAAATTATAACCGTACGTTTACGTTAGATTAGTAGAAGCTTAGACTGCTTTACAGTTTTATTGTTATTTTTCTAACTTCCATACAGTGTTACAACGCAAACTGTAATAACAACACAAAATGTAATAAACTGGGATTATTACATTTTGTGTTATTACATTTTGCGTCGAGATCAACGCAAAATGTAATAGCACAATATTTGGATTATTACATTTTCCATTGTTACATTTTGCGTCGCGATCAACGCAAAATGTAATAAGGTGCCTTTTCGTTGTTACATTTTGTTTTATTTTATTTTTGCCTTGAAGAACACAAAATGTCCCTTACCAAAATACTGACCTTCTGGCAACATCTTCTGGCATTATTGCCGCAATATTGTAGCAACATTCTTGCAATACATTGCGGCAATATTGCGGTAATTTATCGTTTTTCGTATGTAAATTAGATTTGCTGCAATATTGCCAGAAAAGTGTTGCGGCAATGTTGCCGCAAAGCAATTGCAGTACATGTATTATTTCAGGTTGTGCTGCAGCAATAATGGGTCAACACTACAGTGCTACATAAATCGGTAATTAATAGAAATAATGATCTATCAATCTAACAATTAACAAACTGTGATGAGGAGCATAAGAATCAATAGCTTATCACAGGGTCAGTAAGAATTAGCTACTTTTGCGATTCTTTGAATAGATAGAAAAATTATGTTGATCATCATAATAAAAATCAAGATATGTTTGTGAAACACTATGCGCCTGGTGGCAACAAAGTTCGAAAAAGCTTTTTTTAGCTTAAAGGTCACAATCAAGGTCACAAAGTCATTGATCTTGGTGTCATTTGAAAGAACTTTATTAGTGGATTATGCATACTAAATTTGAAGTCTCAATATCTCCTATAGTTGAAACTTCATGGCAGAGGTTCAAAAAGGCTATTTTTAGCATATAGGTCACAGTAAAGGTCACAACTAAGGTCATTGACCTTGGTGTTATTTGAAAGAACTTAATTAGTGAAGGCCGCCTACCAAATGAGTTCTCTATCTTTTATGGCTCAAAAGTTATGTCGAAAAAATCTATTTTAAGCATATAGGTCACAGCAAAGGTCACAAGGTCATTGACCTTGGTGTCTTTTGAAAAAGCATAATTAGTGGATTATGCGAACTAAATATAAAGTCTCTATCTTTCAGGACTTTTAAGTTATGATGAATATTATTCAAAAAAGCTATTTTTAGCATAAAGGTCACAGTCAAGGTCACAAGATTATTTTTAAAAAAGGTATTTATCGCATAAAGGTCACAGTCAACGTCACAAGATCATTGACCTTGGTGTCATTTGATAGAACTTAATAATTAGTGGAGTATGCATACCAAATATGAAGTCTCTATCTCTCATTGGTTCAAAAGTAATGGCGAGGGTTTAAGTTTACGAACAGACAAACAGACAGGACAAGAACAATATGCGCCCCCGATTTATCAATGCAAGCGCATAAAAAATGTGTATAGAAACAATATCAATATGCCACTGTGAAAATGTCCAGCAACTCTGCATTAATTTTCAAATAACCTTAATTAACTGCCCATCACATATTCCCATGCAAATGCCAATCAGTATAATATATAATAAAGCTTGTTGGTAATTTCCAACATATATACATAGATTCAATTTTCTTTCAGGTATTCAAATTTATGCAATCAATTATAATTATATATGTCCATGCATTTAACTGATAACCAGCATTCATCTTTTCCTGCAACACCAGGATATATAGACATTCAAGTCTAGTATACATGCATCACAAGCACTACGTGAAACACATAAATTTTTTTCCAATTTTATCTCCATAGAATCATTCAACTCAAAAAGAATATGGTTTTGACTTTTGACTCACCAAGTCTGATCATATAAAAACAGAACAGACATTCCAATAATTCTGTTCAATTTCTTTTTTTTCTAGCCATTCCACATTATGCAGTCTTACTACCCATCTTGTCTAATCCCATTGTACACAATTAACAACTTTAATTAACTTGACACACGTCAGTAATGAAGCAAAACATGCTTGCCTTTGAATTCCCTCCACTTTATTTAAAATGAGGAAGTAATGACTGAGCATGCTCAACAAATGGCTCATGGGTAATCCTAGATGTTGCCAGAAACTTTTTTATCTGGAAATATTGCCAGAATGTCACCAGAAGTTGTTGCAGCTAGCGGTGATATTTTATTAACCCAAAAAGCTTGTTTCTGGTGACAAAAATATTAATGTGTTGCTGCAATGTTGCCGCAATATTGCTGCAATAATTTTACTTTGGTAAGGGGTAATAAAGGAATATGTAATAAAATAAAATATAATAATTTTTTTGATTGCGTTTAACACAAAACATCATAAAATTGATTAAAATGTAACCAACGTGGGAACACGCTTTACAAAATATTTAGAACTACATGTACATGTATACCAATGAAGACGGACACACAAGGGAAAAACAGTACACCTCCCTCTCATTTGGAGCAGGGTTATAATGAGTCATTTGATCAAGGATACTCTCTGACAAATTTTTCAGTAATTAGCGAATTGATTTTTAAGGCCTTTGTCCTAAAGACTTGACGTACACCACACAAATGATAATAGTACTAGCTATTCGATCCTTTGGCTCAGAAGAGCTAATAAGCTTATGTTATTACCAAAGTGAAACTCACCTGTTGATGATTCCAACTTAATGCAGCGTTTGGATGCTGTATCAAAGTAGCCAAAAGGACAAGTCTCTACTGACAAGGTCCTGTTCCTATCACAAAGTATATAGTTAGTAGAATGTTGTTTGCCTGGGTACGGATTAACTCCATCTGGTAAAGTAAGACAACTTGGAAGTCTGGCTGGACAAGGAATACAATTAGAGTCCCCTACAGAACACTGATTCTGTAAATACTGACCTGATAAGAAAAAGTGTTATGGAAATTTATATTTCTTTAAACATTGTAGCTTTTATGGTATCCTAATTATTTTTCTTGCTGAATAGGAAGTACAAGCATCTTACATGGAGTCATGGGTTCTGTTCGTACGCCACAAGAAATGTGATGGAAATCTTCACACTGTAAAGTAGCTAAAGAAAATAGCTGGGGATAAGTACACTCATGAAGGTATGGTTGATAAATGGAATCCCTCATAGAACAGTCATAGTACTGGGCACAGTTAATCCAACTTGGGAGTCGTGACGATGGATGATATTTACAGAATCCATTAACATTTTCTGTAATTATGAAATAATAAATTATTCTATTGACATTTTCTTAAAACTTTTTTCATTCAATACATAAAGCAGACAAGTACTAGTATTCTATTTCAATGAATGATCGGTGAGGAATCATAAAGTCAGTATTATAAAATGTCTTGAAATAATTTATGAAATATTTTCCTTTTATTTTAATTCACTTAAAATAAATATATTTTTTTTGTATGAGAATGTATATACATACATTCACTTTCGCATTGTTTATTAACTGATTTAACAAGTACGCTTGATTGATTGATTGTATATTGTTTAACGTCCCTCTCGAGAATTTTTCACTTATATGGAGACGTCACCGTATGCCGGTGAAGGGCTTCAAATTTTGACCTTTACTCGGCACCCAGGGCCATTGAGCAGTGAGGGATCTTTATCGTGCCAACACCTACTGACACGGGGCCTCGGTTTTTAAGGTTTCATCCGAAGGACCCGCAACTTTCACTTCAAAGTGCCGAGCGCATGGTGAAGGAACAGTTGCTACCCATTTTATCGACTGGGTCAGTCGCGGCCGAGATACGAACTCACGACCTCCCGATCACGGAGCGAGCGCTCTACCGACTGAGCTACCGTGAACGGTTAACAAGTACGAGGGTTGTCTCAGAAAAAAACATTTTCAAAATCTTTTGCTTCACTAAAGCTATAACGTTTAAAATCGGCATACATCATGATCAACATTTTTTGAATAATGCATAAAAAATTGAATAAAATATCTCTATTTATTAATAACATTTTCCTTTCAGGTAAACGAATATCGCAAAATCAGCTGTCGGCGCAACACAATGTCAAAACGTGTTTGTGAACTTTTTATGAAAACTGTCCTCTAATAGAATTCATTTTATCATAAATTCGGCTTTGTATTTAGTTTTTAAGTAACCAAGTTACATCTCAAATACTAGTGTTATCAAAATATTTCTGATTTAATTCTTTACATACACAATTTCACAATCCCAATCATTAATCTAACTGATAGAGTTATTTAACACCGGTCTTCACGTACATGTATGCATATGGCGTCCTGCTCCTTCTTTTCAGTTCGTCTTCATTTTAAATTATTAGTCTAATCTTTTGTACTGAATAGCCAGTGAAGTCAACCTCAATCTCCTTCAACTAGAGACAAACCTATTTCCAATAATTATGTTTGTGTTTTTTCATCGTTTACATCTATTTACCCTTTGTACAGTGTCATTTCCCGCTCAACATAGTGTTTTAAACATGATGTAAACAAAATTGAATCTACACCACCTTATTAGGATAAATAAGACCAATCATAGATTTGCTGTTCTTGAGAAGATTTTTTTTAGATTTTTATCTTTCATACTCCCATTTAAAACTTTGATCGTCCATTGTGGCTCCACCCTACCCCCAGGGGTCATGACTTGATAAAAGTTGAATCTACCTCACCTGTGAATGCTTTCACATAAATATGACCAATGAAGGCTTTGCTGTTCTTGAGAAAAAGATTTTTCCTATTTTCCCTCTATATTCCCATGTTAGACTTTGATGGCCCTAACCCTATCCCCGGGGGTCACTACCTTACAATGGTTCCACATGAAATAATCTTTCCTAGCCCGTTGGTTCTTGAGAAGATTCTTCAATAATTAATTTTTCGCTATTTCGAAATTATCTCCTTAGAGGTGTGCGTGGCCCTTCATTGAAACAAACCTGATTTCTTTTTACCCTAGGATACTTTCTGGCAAGTTCTCGAGAAGAAGATGAAATGTGAAAAGTGAACAAGGACAACAACGACTATTATTATTATTATTATTACAGCACTACGACTACGATTATTGTCTAACGCCATTTAATACTGTTATGTAAAAATAGGCGTTTAATCAAATAAACCAGTTTCAGTTTGTACGACGACAGACAACGGACAAATTTCAATCAGAAAAGCTCAATTGAACCTTCGATTCAGGTTTGCTAAAAATTCTAGAGCACTGAATATTATATATGCATGTGAAAAGAATAAGTTTAACTTCATAATAAATTCTTTTTAGACTTTCAAGAAAAAAAAATGTTTTCTTTCAAGTTTGTAAAAATGAAGTGTTGCCGTGAGTCACGGTAGGTCAGGGAGTAGAGCACTTACTCATGATCAGAAGGTTGTGGGTTCGAATCATGGCCGCTACTGACAAGTCAATAAAGGAATATGTAGTAACATTTTCTAGTGCTCAGCACCTTGAAGTAAAAGTTGGGGTCCATTAAATTTAATGCAAGAAAAACGACATGGTGTGGTTGATTGATTGACTGTATATATATTCCTTAACGTCCCTCTCGAGAATTTTTTCACTCATATGGAAACGTCACCGTTTGCCGGTGAAGGGCTTCAAATTTAGACCTATACTCGGCACTCAGGGCACTTATTGAGCAGTGATGGTTCTTTATCGTGCCAACGCCTACCGTGACGCAAGACCTACGTTTTTAAGGTTGTATGAGTGTGAGCATTTTACATAACACAAATTGGAATGAAAGTTGCATTCAAAGTAATTTCAGTAATTTTAAGTGTTTATATCATTAAATAATTATTGTACATTCAACTTTACTACTTATTTTTTTCTGATTAAAAATGAGTATTAAAATATCTGCGTTGTCATAGAGCACGTCTCGCGTTTTTACGACAACTGACCTGTTTCCGATCTCTGTAGTAACGAAAGCGCTGGATTTCCCGAAATGACAAACAACAAAAAATGGGACGTGCCAAGGGCAAATTTAAATTTGCCACCCGCAAACGGATATTTTTAAATACAGAAACTATTCAGAAGCAGACGTTGATGTAGTCTCTATTCAAAAACCGGTAAGTAAACAAGATGTGTTTGTGAAACACTATGCGCGCAGCGGCAACAAAGTTAAAAACATATTTTTAGCATATAGGTCACAGTCAAGGTCACAAGGTCATTAATCTTGGTGTCATTTGAAAGAACTTGATTAGTGAAGTACGCATGGCTCTCATGGCTCAAAAGTTCTGGTAAATGTTCAAAAAAGCTATTTTCAGCATACAGGTCACAGTCAAGGTCACAAGGTCATGTCGAGTGAAAGGGCTTAATTAGTGAAGTAAACCTGCCAAATATTAAGTCTCTACCTTTCTTCGTTCAAAAGTTATAGCGAAGGTTAAAGTTTGCCAACAAAAAAAAGTATATTTAGCATATAGGTCACAGTCAAGGCACAAGGTCATTGATCATGGTGTCATTTAAAAGAGCTTAATTAGTGGTGTATGCATACCAAATATGAAGTCTCTAACTTTTATGGTTCAAAAGTTATGGCAAAGGTTAAAGTTTGCATAAAAACTATTTTTAGCCTATAGGTCACAGTCAAGGCGCAAGGTCATTCACCTTGGTGTCCATTAAAAGATCTTAATTAGTGGAGTATGCATACCAAACATGAAGTCTCAACCATTCATGGTTCAAAAGTTATGGCGAAGGTTAAAGTTTGCAGACAAGTAGACAAACAGATAAGCAGACAAACAGACAGACAGACAGACAGGACAATAACAATATACGCCTAAGATCTTTCGATTCGGGCGCATAATAAAAAAAAGTATCGGATACATGTAACACGCCAACCACGATAACGAGGGCTCAAAATTGACTGTGTGCCCGTATTTCGACAGTCTATGAAGAAGTGTCAGTTTTATATTATCCCAGAGGCTAGACAATCTTAAAGAAAAGTTTTTGGAATTAGGCTGCACAGAATTAGGCCTAATATCAACGAGAAATCAACTGTATAAAGATATGCTTAACGATTCAGTGATTCATGCTGCTTTGTTGATATTTTTTTTTCTTCGAGATATCCTTATCTAGAGTTATTCCCAGTTGTGAAATAGAAAGTAGATAACCCGGCATTTTATATGTAAACAAACTGCTCGAAGATTTTTTTATTATTTCCTAAAATTTATTGTACAATATTCATTTTAATACTTATTGTATAAATTGGAAATGTTATTGGAACAACTTTATTAATAAACATGAACATTTTAAAGATTGATTGATTGATTGTATGTAGTTTAACGTCCCTCTCGAGAATTTTTCACTCATGTGGAGACGCCACCACTTGCCGGTGGCGGGCTACAAATTTTGTCCTATGCTCGGCACTCAGGGCCTTTGAGCAGTGAGGGATCTTTTTCGTGCCAGCACCTACTGCGACACGGGGCCTCGGTTTATACGGATTCATCCGAAGGACCGGTACCGGTCTCCACGTCCCACAGTGGGATTCGAACCCGCGACGTAAGGATTGACTCCTTACTTCGCGACTCTAGAGCAGACGCTCTAACCACTGCGCCACGCGGGCGACAAAATGAAGAGAAAAAATGTTCAGAGGAAATTCGGGCTGAATATTTTCAAAATGGCTCCTTTTTTTTCTCTGAAACTTAGACTCATTGATTGATTGTTGTCATATTTCATGTAAAACCTATGCATTTCTTGTTTCCTTAACTCTGCATGTAGTAACATATGAGACAAGGATTCATATATCTCATATCTCATTATTGTTAGTCAATGGTCAATATAGGTGGCATTGTAAGGACGTACAAATTGTAAAACATTAACTTTATTTCTTTTTTATTTTACAAATGAAAGTTGTCCAGATAATATATAGATCACAAAAATTGTGACATGTTTATTTTTCATTTAGATTGATTTTATTGAAATGTAAATGAAGATAATTTTAGAGAAAATTTTGCAGAGAAAATCTGATCAGAGGAATTTCGGGCTGAATATTTTCAAAATGGCTCCCACCTTTTTTTCTGGAGCTTGGACACAAAAATTGATTGTTGTTATAGTTCATGTAAAACCTATGCATTTTTTTTATTTCCATTACACTGTATATTGTAAAATATGTGATAACAATTCATATATTTCATTGTTTCGAATCATTGGACAGTATAGATGGCTATGGAGGACATTTATTTTAATAAAACATTAACTTTTTAAAAAAAATTATTTTACGAATGAATATAGTTCAAAGAATATTGT